TTTTTTTTTTTTTTTTTTTTACACCGTGGTGGGTTTCTTTGATATCCATTCTATTTTAGTTCAACTTCCTTAAATTCAGATTCAGAGGACTATGCTGCATCCTGTTTGTTACCTTGGGAAATGTAAAATTCCTAATGGTACACACACACACACACACACAAACACACACACACACACACACACACAAAATACAATCCAGAGTTTGCCGTGATATCCTGCATACATACTTCCTGTGTCTGTTTAATGAGATTGTTTATGTTGTTTCTATGTCCATCTGTTCTGTTTAATAATGTGGTGCTATTAGAACATTTCAACCTAGCATCTGTCCTAAACTCAGCAGGTTAGCAGTCAGTCACTAATGCCTGACACAGTCTGAGCTGAATATAATACTTCTCTCTTTCTCTCTGTGGACATGTTCCATAAGTATTTATGTATGTAATCATTCTCTCTCTCGCTCTTTCCTTTCACTGCAGCCTCCTACAGAGATTCAAGTATGATTAATTTACTTTCACAACAGCTCCACGTTTATAATATATTCTCCTCTGCTTCTCTCTTCTTTAATCTTTTCCTGTTCCTCATCCCTCCCATTCCCTCCTCTTCTCCCTCCCCATTAAATCTGCATCCCTCCTGCATTCTTTTTGATAAAAGTTCATATCCTATTTGATATCATCTTTCGCATTTATGAACTGATTCATATTACCATCAATTTTAAATACTGTGTATATAAGTGTTAAATGAGGTTTATTTTGGTACCATTTCCTGTGTTTCAGAAGGCATTCTCAACAACGTGCGGGACTCCAGCGTCATGGATACGCTGCCGCTTAACGGTAACCACGGCAACAGCTACGGCGTGGCAGCAGGCGATTACCTCACCTACAGCTCTCGTGGCAACGAGCCACCAACTACGCTAGAGAAAAAGATCTTGAAAGAGCTGACGGCAAACTACACTCCGTCGTACCTCAACACTCAGGAGCGACAGGGAAAAGCCCACCAGGGGACCCTGACTAATAAACTCAACAACCACCTGGCCAACGGAGGGGTCGCGGGGTCATCATCCATCGCCAAAGACGACGTCATGGTGCTCGACAACCCCGGAGCGTTTCACCGACACGACGACGGTGGCGGCGGGTTAAGTCTGGAGCTCATTAGGGAGGAGTCACAAGCGCCGCTCCTCCCACCCAGACTGCCCCCTCTGGAAAACCACGCCCCCATGCACACGTTTTCGGCCCACCGGCGCCTACCGCAGGAGAACAGTGAGAGCTTCTTCCCGCTGCTCCCCAACGACACGCACTCGTCGCACACGCACACTCCCCGCGCGCACACACACTCCCCCCTCAGAGACTCACTCTATACCAGCATGCCCACGCTCACCGACCTCCCGCATGGCACCGATGACCTCATCAACGGTCTCCATGAGGACGAAGACGATGAGGATGACGACAATGAAGAGGAAGAGGGCAGCGAATTGCACCTGGCCAACGGCAAAGAGGTCATCATGGAGACGGACGACGTGTACTACAAAAGCATGCCGAACCTGGGCTCCAGGACCCACATACATGAACTAGAGAGCTACTATCAGATGGGACGCGGCGGCAGTGACGGGTTCATCGCCCCGCCTGAGAAAGAAGACTCGTCGCCTGAAGAACAGCCACCGGACCCCTCACAGCTGGTCACCAGTCTATAGACACCGACACGCACACACACATTCCCATTCAGTGCGCGCGCGTGTGTGTGTGACACAATGCATAAGGCATGGGATACACTACCTACTGCACTGATAGAGAGACTGATTCCAGATAGACCCCCGATTCCAGTACATACAAGTATCCTGTCACCAAAATCCTGCTCCAGTTAGAACCAGTAACCAGAACTAGTAACCCATTCCTACGCTAGAACAAGGACTACCGCGTGTAGGCAGATCTTGTGGACTTTTTTCTCATCAATCTGCTGAGTAAAACTCTTGCGGATTGTCAATTTGGAGATGTGGATGAACTTTTGCTCCATTTGCATAGCCATCCTCGATGAAAACCTTCATCCAATGGCTGTCCGATTCTCCTCCGAACTCACCACGGATTGTGGCGAGCGTGTAAAGAGACTGTGGAAAACTAGCTGCCGTTTATGACGACCGTGTATGATAATGAGACCACCGACCGTCGTACTGAACTGCATTACCCACAACTCTCTAGACTTCTCTATGATTCTCTGCTGCACACATTCCTTCTCGTTTAGCACCAATCTCGTTTTCGAGCGTGAAATCACAAAAGGCGCATCTGTTCTTAAAGACTGAGGACGCATCTTGTTTTCTTGCGTTTATTTTTCTGTAATAATCTCAGTTACGGGAAAGGTAATCTTCACTAATTACAAAGAAATGGAACTGTTTTCCATGTAAAATGTACAGATTCCCGATATTGCATATGATCCTATGCGTTTCATGTTTTTTGACCTATTTTGCCCCTTGTATGTGTTTTTGTAGACTAGACCAATCCCACAATGCTGTGTTGGTCCTCAAAAATACTATCCCTTATAACGCACAGCACACACACGCACACATATCTACATACACACGCATACACACTCTCGTTTGGAAGGATGACCATGGCCGCCTCCTTTTTTTTTTTCTTTTCCAAATGCAACACTTCGTCATTCTCACTGTGTCGATGATAACCAAGAGACTCTGGAGAAATGACTGTTGTGTGATTGACAGCTATTACAGATGGGATCCCAATGATGCTGGAACGTCGTCGTTCCATGAATTCTACCGCGATTTTGAATTCTAGGGCGCATACTTTGGATGCAGGTTGAAGAATTCCAGTTTATTGAAATTCCAGTCATACATGTTGACACAGCTAAAATTGTTCTCTCAGGCTAAAAGATGGTGTATTATTGTGACGATTTCAAATATCGAGTTGTGTTTTTAACTTAAGAGCTCAATCAAGAACGGTAAGAAAGGCTAGCGGGATGTGAATTGGAACAAGTCCGAGCAAATAAAAGTGTGAATCATCATTACGAATCATATGTAACCACATAAAATAACCATGTAAAGAACAGACTAGAAGGATAGGACTTTAATGGAGTGGTTTGGAAGATGGAAACAACCTTGTAAAGGTCAGTTTCTGAAACTACTGTTTACTTGTTCTCAAACTGAGACTCCCTGTAGCTTGCACATCTATCCCTTGTTAACCCACCCTGAGAAAATCGACTGCATATTTATTCCTGTGATTCAGTCTTGTTTTTAAATTTTTTTATTTTCCAACAGATCAGAAACGTAGGATCTTAGAGAGCGTCGGGAAAAGAATTGGATCGGCACTGAGACCTTTTTTATTGCTATTATCATCAATATTATTATTATTACAATATCTATGAAATTATTATTTATTCTTTTCATATGCATTCTAAACTGAATGAACTCATAACTAATATTTGTTGTAACAGTGAAAGTTGTTTGCCAACAAATAAAATGACTGAATTAATATTTACAATATTTCACAAGGGAAAGGTGTGTTTCTGCTTCTTTTTTTTTTTTTGCCTTTTAATTTGATTTTTCAATTATAGAGTGACACTTTCAACAGGACGAGGAACGGTCATGACTCCTCTGGGCAGTTTTTCAGGGAAGGATTGTCATGGAGTAAATTGTACTGTGGATTGTGATTCTCTGTTGAAAATCCTTTTGGACTAGACTTAATCTCTGTCTGGGAAACCGGCCGGAAGACTTTAACAGTCAGTCTCTTTCTATACTGACCCAGTTTCTGTACCGGCACCAATCAAACGAGCACGGTACCAATTAATTATGCACATCTGAGAAGAGCGCCAGCACAAACAGTGTAATTACGACCTATTGATTTTTATGTCTTTCCATGCAAACAGACACACGTCCGTCTGCAAACACGCCCAAATGTCAGACAGCCTGCGCGTGTGAGTATGTCTGTGAGAGTTCGCTCTGCCAAATGTTACCACTTTCATGAATATTTATAGGCCGTTTTGACAGGCACTTGAGCATTTTGAAAGGAAGGAAAGATGCAGCCTCCCTTCGCCCCCCAAGCAGACCATATAGCTCCACACTCTAGAGCCCTGTCCTGCCTTTGACATGAGTATAGTGTGTGTGTGTGTGTGTGTGTGTGTGTAGGCAGCCAATGAAATTGAAAAGTTATTTAAAGAAACTGTTCACCGTTCAAACTTTTATCCATCCACAACTACAGCCTAGATACCACTCAACTGAGAAGACGAAACCCACAAGTTTGGGTACCACAAGACTTTTTGACTTGAAGGTCCCCCAATAGGTCCAACACACTTTCAGATAAAAAGGTACAAAAGCTGTCACTGGGGTAGTACCTTCTCAAAAGGTACAATTATGTACCATTTAGGTACTAATATGTACACTTTAGGTACTAATAGCTTTAAGGTACTTATATGCACCCTTTAGGGATAAAAAAGGTACAAAAATGTATATTTTGAAAAGCTACTGCAATAATGACAGCTTTTGTACCTTTTTTTTACCGAGGGCGCACAATGTTCTAAGGACCCCCATATTGGACCCAAGATATTTCTTCTAATATTTCTGCTGTAATTATGGGAATGCTGCCTGTTTTCAAACTTTTCATTAGCAGTGTTGATAAATTAACATTATAAAATGGATAGTTCCGGTCCTTGATTCTGATTGGTTGAGCCGCGTTCGAAGCTGTTGTAAATTACACTACAAACATACTGTAACGAATAGTCCACTGAAGGCGAGTTGAAGTGAGAACCCATGTGCAGTTTATTCACAAACGTGATCCAAAATCCAAACATAATCCAAACAGAGACTTGACTTGAACAGACTTGACTTGGCACAAAACAAACTAGACTCACCAACAGCAGGTTACATAAACAAGGAGGGTCACATGACATGAACAAACCAATGGGAAACAAGACACATGACTAGGACTACCAATCAGAACATGACACATACACAAGGCAGAGATACATGAGGGAAGGGAAGCATGACACTAACAGCAGGAAACAATTACAAAATAAAAGACATGGAAAACATGAACATGAAACAAAACCCAAACACCACATTACACATACACCTTTGTTTACTTTGTGTGTTGCTTGGCAACCGCTTCGCGTCGTACCTAACAACGCCCCTTAGCTGTTATAAATTCACTGTACACCACGGCTTCTTGGGGCTTATTGCTTTAGTAACTGACCATGATTCAGTTTGGTGATTCCAGAAGTTTCGAGATTCTGATTTGGCATGTTTTTCAATAAAACATCCTGATTTGTTTATATTTTTAGCATTTGAGGTAAATAATTTTTTTATATAATAAAAATGTGCCCCCTTAAAAGGTTTGCAGAGGCCCCCCAGTGGGCCCCGGCACCCTGGTTGCAAACTATTGATCTAGACAGATGGCAGAGACTGCAGTCCGCTTCCTCGCCTCCTTCTCTCTCGCCTTTGTCTCAGGTTAATTAAATGAGACTGGAGAAGATGTGGGCTGGATCACAGCATGGACTCTGTGATCACTTAGTGCTGCCTGTGACATTTTTACCCAGGCTGCCCACTCTAACATCAGAAGCGTTTTAACCACACATGCCCATTCTTGTCACAGTGCACGTAATATTTATGCAGCATCATATTTATGTTGTGTAAATATGATGGTGTCACGAATTAAATCTGAATGTGCATGCATGATATGAGTTGTGATAATCGGATAGCATTAATCTGCTCCTCTCGATTGCAGATTTTGGCCTGTCCCAGCTCAGAGGCCAACAAGTAATATTATGCAATAATGTTGTACTTCAAACATAATCTGTTGAAATGATATAGAATTAATTGATTAATTAATTGTAATGAAATACTTGAATAATTTTAATGACAAAAAACTGTATTTAGCGGCATTCTACATTATGTGCGCTGAGCATATTATTCTTCATTTACAAAAAAATCACATAAAATTGCAACACCCATGACTAAACACTTTCCACAGCATAACCATTTATTATGTAAATAATCGAATTCTGTTTTCTCAATGTGAATTTGTCAGGCTCAACGATTCAACCCTGCTAACCAAGTTATTGTTTTTATATTCAATTTTTGTATTAAAGGGAATAAAACTAATATCGTTATCGATAACTACAATAAACGTTTGGTCCCAATCTGAGTGGCAACTTAAAGCTGGCTAAATTAGCAACATTGTTACCAATTCTGGCAATTCTTTTTTTTTTTTTATAACTTTTATTTAATTTTTGTTAATTATTAATCATTCTTGCTAGAAAACAACACTATCAGAAAGGCAGGCTTTTAAACAGTAGTCATTTTGCACAAATTGCAAATGTCATAAAAAATAAATAAAACAGCTCATATAATATTTAGTCTGACTTCCTGAAGTTGACGATCAACATTTTTTTAAAGGTCAAGCACCATCGTTTACTCATCAATTGAGAGAGAAAGAGAGAAAAAACTCTCTGGTCCAATTTTGTACCATTACTTAAATATTTCAATGCCATTTATAATATAAACAAATCAGTCCACTATTCACATGAAGCCTACATTTCAGTAACATACAAAAAGTACACCCCATGAAAAATGACTTACTGTAACATACATATACTGGACTAGTTAATATTTAATGGACATTTTAATTTAACAAATTACACTTGTCATATTTTTTGTAATCATTAGTGCAGCTTAAATAATTTGCAACAGAAATGCCCTTTTCTTGTGTGGAAAAATGTACACCTATTTATTACTACATCGTGTGCAAGTGGTTAAGCAATTAGTAGACTTGAGTTGCAAATTAGTAGAACATCAAGAGGAAGGTCATATATAAACTTCAATAAACAGCTCTGGTATGGTCATAAGCAATGAAGTACATGGCAGCATCAAAAAAGCAAAAAGGCAGACTGAGCCCTTCAGAAGGAAGGTTAGCAAGGCTTAAAGTCTGAAAGGGGATTTAAAGCCATTTGCAAGCTATTTAAAATCCACCATTCCACTGTGCATAAAATAATCTACAAATGGAGAAGCTTTCACAGCACAGGCCATCTTTCCAGGTCGGCCATCCCATCAAATTCAAGATGCTTCAGAAAGTCTCAAAGGACCCCATTGTCAAAAGATCTACAGGCAGCTTTGGAAACAGTCAATACACACATCAGGCATTAGAAAGAGAGTGTGCAAACCTGGCCAGCAAGGAAGAAGCATAAAAAAATCCAAAGTAATCCAACACCTACATGTGCTCCGGACATCGAGTCAAAGGTGGAAATGTTTGGCCACAGGTTCAAATGTTACAGTATGTTTCTTAAAAACCAAACACTGCATTTGAGAATAACAAACTCATGCCAACTGTGAAGCATGATGGGAGTGTTTTGCTGCTTCAGGGCCATTATAAAGTAAACTATGAAATCCACATTATACCAAAGAGTACACGAGGAGAATGTAAGGCCGTATGTTTAAAAAAAAGGGAAAAAAAAGAAGCTGAACTTTCCAACCTTCCGACAAGATAATGAACCAAAAGGTGAGGTATGAGACTTTTAAATTATTCAAAGAAATTAAGAATTTGAGTACTTAATTTTTGTCCCACAGAATGCCTTTTATTTTGTGTAGCTATTTTTGTTGAATAAAAGGTTACAACATTATTGTTATTTGTTAAATTAGGTAACCTTCACAATCAATACAGTTACAGTATCAGTATGTCCACATATGATGAAAAAGGATCTTTTCATGGGGTGTATTAGTTTTTTCTACATTTCATCATATTTAATATGTAAATAATGTCCTTCTATTTTCTCAACTTTTACACAAATTGTAGTGTTGACTGCATTTGTCAGGCTCTACCATTCAATTCTGTCACCCGGGTTATTGAAAGAAAAAAATATCATAGGTGGAAAATATATTTCATAATTAATAATTGAAAAATATAAATATTGTTAACTTCAATACCTACATTTGGTCCCAAACTAGCAAACCCCTACCAAGTAAAAGCTTAAATTAGGCTAAATTCACAACTCTGTCACCCATTCTAATTTTGTATTTATTTGATACATTTTTAGTATCAATTATTTATTATTATTATTTATTTTACTGCTTATTTTACTACTACATAATCATTCATAATGTAAATAATCTAATTATATTTACTCTTTTTTTTTTTTACATAAGAAAAAATATCAAACGAATGAATTTTATTTATTTTATGGACCGTTATTAATGACTTCAAACCAACATTTAGTCCCAGACCTAAGGACTTTGCTCCTTATCAAGTGACAGCTAAATTCCTAACTCTTCACAACTCAAATGCCTTTCTAG